CCTCAGGCACCTGCAAAGGCTGGAGACAGAGGCAGAAAAAGGCTCCCTGATTAATTTTTAGATTATATATACATACAGATGTCTTTTCTCTTTTGCTCTGCTTGGCTGGAAGAAGGCGGCACTTGTCCGAGGGAGCAGAGCGGCCCGACCCGCTGGCAGAGGGGCTGCTGCGGGCTTTGCAGGAGTGGAAGCAGTTTAGAAAGGAGGTGACGTGCTGCCTTAGGACACGCAGCCAGCCCCAATGCCAAAGGCTGCGGGCAGCCCATGGCACAGTGGGCACTGCGGGCGCTGCTGCTCTCACCAAAGGTTGGGTTGGTGTTCATGCTGGGCAGGTTTTGCAGCAGGGAGGGTAGTGCCTGGGAGAATGGCAGCCTCTGGTCTCTGCAGTGCAGAGCATCAGGCAGTATGCTGCTGCCCGGGGCACCCAGAGATGCTCACCAGGACCGTGCTCGTGCCCCCCGAGTGGCACAGTGCGTACAGCCCCATGCCAACGCTCTCCTTGGCTGTGCCAGGTGCCAGCTGGCAATAAATGCACGTGGGGGGACATGTCCCCCTGCCCGGGTTGTCATCATCCCACTGTTATCCTTGGGATGAGTCCATCTGTGCCCATGCGGCAGCTTCCCCACAAGGCAAGTGGCTGAGGCTGGTTGGGTCCTGTGTGATCTGGGAGCCCCAGTTCCCTGGGCCTGGTCCGGGTGTGGAGTGAGGCCCCAGCAGATGAGGTCTCACAGTTACAAGGTTCTCCATCACTTCCTCGTGGGTCTCCAACCTGCTCCATGGCTCTCCATTACTTCCTCGTGGCTCTTCGTCAAGTCCTCTGGCTCTCCATCACACCCCATGGCTCTCCATCCCTTCCTCGTGGCTCTCCATCCCTTCCTCGTGGCTCTCCATCACACCCTGTGGCTCTCCTTCACTTCCCATGGCTCTCCATTACTTCCTCATGGCTCTCCATCCCACCCCATGGCTCTCCATCACACTCTGTGGCTCTTCATCACTTCCCCGTGGCTCTCCATCATTTCCCCTGCTCTCCATCATTCTACCTTGCCTCTCCTCACTGTATTTTTCACATTCTGCTTCTCTTCTCCTCTTCCACACCCCATCCAGAACATGCCCAGCCCCACCAGCCCATGTTCCAGCAGCCACGGCCCAGGAGGACTTGTGGGGCTACCAGGCTGCCTCCTCACACTTTGCTCATGGCCCTGTTCTGGGTGGTGGCTTCTCCTGCTCCAGGCCTGCAGTGTCCTACGGGTGCCACCTCCAGCCCCAACCCACCCCCGTGCTGGGCATCCACGCTGCAGTGAGGCCCCGTGCCTCCTCGCCCCAGCCCCCAGCACTCTCCAGAGCATGGTAATTTCGGCCTCGTAAGGAGCCATGGCCAGATGGGCCTCATCGGCATTTCAGTGGGTCCATGGCCTGTTGCAATGGAACCGTGTAGGAATTGCATAGGATGTGCAACAGTGCTGCTGGGCCGAGCTGGAGCAGGGAGTTAGGAAATGCTGAGTCTCAGCCTGTTTTAGTGAGTTGCTGGTTTGTACGTCGCAGGCCCACAGGAGTGGGGCTCTGGAGGAGCTCCCATCACCTGTGACAGCAGGACAGGGTCTTGCATAAAGGTGGACTCATTAAAATGCCAGGATTTTGGTGTGTTCAGCACAGGTTCTGGGTTTGTGCCCAGCTGGTGATGCTCTGCCATCCTGCAAGGGGCTGCGTGACGAAGCTGCTTGGGAGTAGGTCAGATGGAGGCTTGGTACCCCTGAGACGTATGGGGTCGCATCCTGGAGCACTGTGGATGCGATGTGGTCACATCCAGCTCTGTGGGCTGGTCCAGCAGAAGCGGGTGCTGAGCACCCGCCAGACTGAAGCCCTCAGTGAGGCATCTGCAGGAAGGGACACTCCTCGCTCTCTCGCTGCCGGTGGGGAGAAGGATCCTGACCCCCATCTCGCAGGGACTGACGTGCCTGCTTTGCAGAAGGGACGGCTGGAGTGATGTTCCCGTCAGCCTGGGAGACACGGCAGCGCATCCCCAAACCCTGTGCCCTGCTCTGCCCTGGGACGCCAAGCCAGCCTCATTTCTGCAGCGAGCACCAGGCTTTGCCTGACAGATGCAGCCCAAGGGGCTGAACAAGCTCTTTATTCACTTAGGATCAAGTTCTTCTGCCCTCTTGGAGCTGGCTCTAGCGCAAGCAGCTGCTTGCCAGCCCTGGCACATCCGTGACCTTAAACACAGGCAGGCAAATCTCTTCATTGCTAATTTTCTCCTGATTTTGGTTTTTTAAATCCTGATGTTCTAATTTTTCAGCCTGAGGGTCAGCGGCAGAGCCGTGGGCTGAGCCAGGGCAGGCGCAGGCAGAGCTGGGCGCTGCGGGGCAGCCGGGGAAGAAGTG